ATATGTATGGCTCATAAAAAAATTTTAAAATAATGCACATAAATAAGACGTAAAATGACACAATAATTTATAAAATGCGTTTATAAAGTTTTATTAAGGAATAAGAATGATAAATATGTATATGAAGTAATAAATAATAATTACAATCTTCCCAGATGTATTACATGTGTTATGACATGAGGTACATATTTCATGTAATGCGTTTATTGTATTTAGTGCACTGAATTCAATCGGCGTACTTTGTATGCTTTAGGCATAAGGCCCCGCCTGTTAAAAATGCCATATATCCCAAACAGGTGGGATATACAAGACAACAAAGAATACAAGAGCAAAGTATTTTGTTATACAATATGCTTTACTATTCCTCTACACTCATATATCACGAAATAACCACAAGTCTTTTGCACGTTCTACAGTAATCACTTTATGTAGATTATAATTTATGATGGCGCTACTCAACATAGTGATAAATCGATTTGACTTACAATAATTTCATTAATATTAACAGTAAGAAACTGAAATTAACATAAACTGAAGTAACATAATATTAATATAATATAAAGGCATGTAACAGAGTAATTGCGGGAAAATTATCCCCACTACTTCTAGTTTTTTTTTACTTCTACAACGTAAATCTCAGTGCGGCGTATTTGCCGGAGTTATCCTAGATAAATATTGAGAATTTGAGTTGCGCTTGCTTCCCTCTTATTCATAGAGAATATGTTAGATAAACTTAAAAACAAACACACGAATGTTACAAAAACCGAGGCACGTACGGGAGAATAAGAAAATGATGAAAATCAATCAACTCAATTAAATTAATAATAGATTATGAATATTACGCGTTCACGCTTGGATTATTATTTGTGCTATTAGTGTCACCCAAAAGTAAGGACTCAACAAAGCTCCGAGCAAATTCACACAAAGAAAAATAACCAAGTCGTACAATATTTATGTCACGAGATAAAAAGAGACAAACAAAATCTTTCTATCTTTAGTCCTCTTACTGTCTTGACTCTTTTTCTTTCCTTATTCTTTCTACCTTGCAACCTATTCGTCTTTTATTGAAATAAACATAGCTGTACAATGTGATTCAATGATAATACGACACACCGTGCAAATCGACGAAATCTATTTGTTATTTAACAGTCATTCCAATTGAAAAGTAGAATAAAGATTGCTCCAAATGACTTTAGTAATGGCTTTGAGCCAATGCCTCATAATCAGATAAATCAGGTACAGACGCTTGTTAAAGGTATCGATATACGAATTTCTTGATATCGCTAATATATAATCGCATAAATATATGTATATTGAATTGACCTTGAATATACCAGTTCTCTGACATAATCACAAGGAAAAAAAAATTTTATGTGCAAAATAAACAAAAAAGTAGAATAAAGTCTTTTCATGTGGGACTTGTCTCTTTTTTAATCGATTTCGAGAATTATAAATTAATATTATTTTTGCGTAACATTTAAGTTTGAAAGAATTTTGATACACTCTACATCACCATATTTCAACATTTTAATAAACAATAATTTATTTAATAAGTTATTTAAATAAAATTTATAGTTTAAATAGGGTTATATGTATTAATCAGATAAACATATGCAAGTCTTAATAGGTCGTCTCAAAATTAACCTCCAAATTATTTAATATCGTTTGAAACAGCCTTAAATTACTGCGTGCCCAAATTCCATGCTCGATGTACATATATATATATATAGGATCCGCATTGTACGCGAAGAGTTCGTTGCGCTTTCGCGTTTGCGAGTAAACAAAAGGCGCAACGGAAGCAACGAAAACCTCAAACGATTCGACAAAGAAGGAGAATTCGGCTAATTTCACCGTGGCACGCCACGGCTAACCTCTCCATCTTTTGTAACGTAACGCGAGTATCCTCACGAGCACATTCTCTCGCAGGGTTTCTTCCACCTCGAACGCGCTTAAGAACTTTCTTCGTGAACCACGACACGTTTAATTCTATTCAGATTTCTGTAGACTTCATTTCGACCTATTTTTATGTTACAAGTATATCATTTGAATGTCTTACAAATTTTTTACTTTTACATTTTTTCTTCAGTTTATCATTTATAGTATTTATATCTTTGTAATAGAGAGAGAGAGAGAGAGAGAGAGAGAGAGAGAGAGAAACAAAAGTGTTTAAATTTTTCAATGACAAGTACGATAGTAGATAAATGACAAATGATTTGATGCAAAAAGTGTTGCCGAACGAATCGCATGTAAAAAGATATATGTACAAAAAATTTTACAACATAGTAAAAGTGCTAATTTAAATAACGGAGCAAAAGTGTCCCCAATATTTATCTGTTTTTAGAGAAACATATATAATATATTAGGTTGTTCGGAAAGTAATTTCGTTTTTTCTCAACAGAGGACTTATTGTATTTTTTCACACTTAAGCCGCATAATCATTATATATTTTGACAGCTGATATAGCAAGGCTTGCTTGTGAAAAAAGTTCGATTGATTCTACGCAGTAGTTTTTGGTTGGTGCCCTATCAAATATGGAAAGTGAAAAGCAGCATTTTCGGCATATTTTACTTTTTTACTATCGAAAAGGTAAAAATGCTGTTCAAGCAAGAAAAAATTATCCGATGTGTATGGAGAAGATGTATTGACAGAACGCCAGTGCCAAAACTGGTTTGCAAAATTTCGATCCGGCAATTTTGATGTTGAAGATGCACCACGTTCTGGAAGGCCAGTTGAAGCTGATGAAGACACAATAAAGGCATTAATTGATGCAAACCGGCGAATAACAACTCGTGAGATCGCTGAGAGATTAAATCTATCGAATTCGACCGTTTATGATCATTTGAAACGCGTCTGATTGAAAATCGTCTTTCATTTTCATAAGAAAAAACGAAATTACTTTCCGAACAACTTAATATTTGTCTATAAATTTTGTCCATACTTCTTTATAATATAAAATTTCCAAACTATCGAAGCCTTGATTATAATCAATGTATAATAACACAACATGGCATTTCCAGTACACATATTTTAAAACAAAGTAAGACACTCACAATTGAATTTTTCGGAAAAAAATTACATAAATAAATCTGAAAAATTCCGATTTTGCAGTTTTAATATTTTCCATATTTCGGGGTCAGTCGCGATCGCGATCGATATTTTAAATAGTAGCTTCGTATTATATACGACGTAAGTGGTTGCAGGATGCGTTAGTATCGCAGCGCGAGGCTTTGGTAGACGACCACCACGTCGTTTAATGCGATAAAATTGGTTTCCGGAGCCTCCTCGTTTGATAATTCCCCGTCAGACAGTTTGCCGAAGTCGACGTCTAGGAAATGTGTAGGAAACAGCGAGGAGAGCTCCCGCTGCGGGGTTTTCGGTGAGATGTGCATCGAGGCGTTGGGCAAGGAAGCCGCCTCTAGGCCGCGCTTCGGACAGAAAGATGTGCGAGAGAGCCTTGGAGGTAGAAGACAAAGATGAAAAGATGAAAGGCATCCCGCCTTCAGCCACCGCCAGCGCGGCGCATTGCTTCTGCCGCCTTCTTCGTTGCTGCTTCTCGCGCTGGCGCGGTGTCTGGTCATCAACACCTGAATCCCAAGAGCGTTTCTTCTCCCTCCCTCTCTCGCCTTCCTTCCCTCCTTCTTTCGCCTCTCTTTGTTCCTCGACTACGTTCGCGCCCATTTCGTTCCTTCGGCCGCCGCCGCGTCTAGCCTTAAGGTACTCCAGCCAGGGCCAGTTTCTCTCTACCTCTATTCGGGCCTCCTTCGCCCCCTCGACATCCACGAAACACTTCATCTCTCACACACACACGCGCACACACACGCGCGCGCGTGCGCGCGCACTTACATATCGATGTACACACGCACACCCCGCGCTCTCCCTTCTTCCCTCTTTCTCTCTCTCTTTCTTTCTGTAACTAACGCGGCGTAATCTAGGCCCGACTGATGGATGGAATTCCTCACCGAGAGGTGCCTCCGCCGCAAAATCGAACCAGAAAAAATTGCCGACGGACCGAATGCTTTAACGCCGCTTTTGTTGTCCGCTCCGCTCCGCGCCGCGTTCCGATCCGAGCTAAAAGGGCTAACCGCTTCGGCGCTCGCGGCCAAATTTCGCGACGAATTCGAAACGGTGCGATGCGGTACGGTGTAAAGAGAGATAAAGAGGGATGGTGTGAGAGAGAGAGAGAGAGAGAGATCGTGGTAAAAGTCGAAGTAAAAATCGATACCGAGCCGCGCGTCGCGCTGCGTCGACGAAAACTACGATGAAGAAAGACACCCGTTGAACGGTAACGTTGAAGAAGTAATGGCTTTTTTGATACACGCATATTCGGGGGTGCGCAAATGTGTGTGCGCGTGTGCGTGTGCGTGAGAAAGAGCGAGAGAGCGAGCATGCAGCGGCGAAACGAACGCGCCCGAAGGCACACCTGTGACCATGCAGAGCCACGCTGTCTGGAAGTCTCGGTCGCCCATTCTCGTTTCGGCTTGGCCCCTTTTACCGAGGCTCACCCGAAAAAAGGACCGAGAGAGAGATAGGCGAGAGAGCCTCGAAGCGGCTCGAAGAAGAGAGGGTTTATTAATATTGTGGGATCGCCGCTTGCTCCGGCCCCCGTGGAGAGTGTCTACACGAGAGTAGCATATTTTATATCGCCGATACACGTCGAGTGTTGACTCGGCTTGACTATGTGACGAATAATATCAACGTGTCGTGTATCTGTCTGGGTTAACTACCGCACAGCCCACAATGAGATTTAGACCGCCGTTTGTGCTGGTTCTATGGTTGTATAAATTCGATTCGAGATATTAATTTGTGCAGATCTATGACGCAACGTAACTATGTAATTTGCTACATTATGAAATTTTATATGTATTTATAAAGTTTTGGAAATACGAATATATAATAAAATATTATTACAGCCCCCGATGGGATTATTTATGTCGCATATACGTATCTCTCTGCTCCGCTTTCCATTGTGTATATATTACTATTATAATATTACTTAAGGTTATGCGTTTTTTATTTAAATTTATAATTTGTTTTTATTTCATTTTGTTTGTGCACACTTGATAAAAATTTTCCCCTTAAATTTCCCCTTAATATTCTTATCTAACATCAGTATTCTTATTAGCTATAATTCTTTTAATTTTTATCCACTTTCGATAAATATTGTGCTGCGGTTTTTTAAAATTTAATTCGAAATAAAATTTCGGCCAGTTAATTCAATGTGCTCGTATGTTGAACAAGTTTCATTGAATTGTGTTAATGATTCGTAGCTTGAATTGCAACGATCTCTTAGCATTTTGAGGAACAAAATGAAAAAGTTTAAATATAAGTTAAATATATTTTTCATACGATAAAAATCATTCGTATGCCTCAATTTAATAATGTTGCATTAAAATAAAAAAAGTGTAAGTTCATCATTTATAATACACATATTTTGTCTAGGGCATGAGTCTTTAATGCGATTCACCCTTCGATCCTTTCTCTATTCACTCGCTCGTTTGTGCTTATATGACGTTTTGTATGTATAACACGTGTTTTACATGTAAATATTGTAGATATAATTAAAGTTGGAATGTGCTATCAGAACGATTTTAAAGAGCAACTTTGTTTATCGTATAAATCCATTACGCTGACACGCATATCTACAAGTATATCTATGCATATAGATGATCAATTATACGAATAAAATTTTGTAATGTTATATTATACTTTAAATTATCAATAAAGATAATGAAATAATTATTTCGCATAGATTTAACAAAGAATTATTTTTATATCTGATATATATGTATATGTAATTGATATTAAGAATACAAACATATTATAATATATTCAATGTATTTGATGTATTTAGTGTTACATGTTAGAGACGGCAGAAGAGAAATTTTTGTCGGCTATTATAATTTGCTGGTACTTAAATTTATTTTCAACCCTTATAGATTTCCTGCTTTTTTAATTTTCTTTGATGGAGAGAAAAGATTTGTTGAAAGGAATGACACAAAATTTAACTGTGAAATTTATAGCGAAGAAATTTACATGAAATTGACAAATATTTTGTATTTGTTGCAAATTATTTTTGTAGTACGTAGTAGAAAACGAATAATTATATTTGTCACAAAAACCAGCAAATAATCTATTTTGCAAATAGAATTTGCCGTAATTAATTTGGCGTAGGATTAGCGTTTATACGAATTCCCCCCTCCCCTTCCCCCCCCCCCCCCC